GGCAAAGGAATTTAGCCAGATCTCTCCGCCAAAGTGCGTATTCACTTTGTCATGGGACCCTCGGTGCCTCTCTGTTCCTATCTGTAAAGTGGAATTTAAAATAACATTGCCTATGGCGTTTGGGAGGCTGAAACAGGAGGAGAGTTCGAAGCCCCGGGGCGACAGTGAGGCCCTTCTTTAAAAGGGAAGCAGCACTAGCCTAACAAGGCACTCAGGGCTCTATCCCCTGAGTATGCATCAGTTCGCTACCCCATCCATCCATCAATTCTCCTCACCGTGTATAGGATCTAGAAAATGAATGCTGGCAAAGTGTATAAACCGGCCAGGTATACAGGAAACCCTCCATGCATTTTAGATAAAATTGTTGTTCAGTGATCCGAGAAGCATCTGAGAGGCTGGCTTTTGTGAGAGAGGCTCACTGTGTGAGAGGCTTTACGTGTGGGAAGCTTGCTGTGTGGGAGACTTCGCTGTGCAAGAGCCCTTGAGAAGTAGAAGAAAAGCCCACGGAGAAGCTACCTCTCCCAGAGCGCTTTTACTGCTGTGTAAATAAACAAGGGGCTATCTGGCAGCATCAGAGACTACCTGCTGGGAGAATACTGACAGAGTTCAAGAGCACCCTGGGGTTATAGGAGACCCTATCTTAAAAGAAAAGAAAAAGAAAAAAGAAAGGAAGGAAGGCAAGACGGAAGAAAGGAAGAGAGGGAGGGAAGCTGGGAGGGAAGAAGGGAGGGAGGGAGGAAAGGAGGTAGAGAGGGGGGAGGAAGCCAAGAAGAGAAGGGACCAAACCAAGACCCTCAAAAATAAAAATAAGGAGGGGATTCGAGGAGCTATATCCTAGCTCCTGCTTTTGGGAGCATAGATACCTTCTGAAAGTCCCCCCCAGACTGGGACCAAGTTCCTCCAATGGGAACTAGATATATTCTCAGAAGATTCCCAGAGAGTAAAGTCATCCTCTCTCTGTAAGTTTGACCCCACCGGGTGCAAAGCAAGTTAATTTACAATTTCCATGTTGCCACCTGTGAGTTCAGAGACTCAACTTCTCGCATTTTTTATAGACGACCAGGCTGTGGCTCTCGAGGGGGAAGGGTCGGGCAGGTCAATCTAATTCAGTTTAAGCCTTGAACTTCACCAGAACACTCTCTCTTTCCTGTTTTAAAGAGAAAATATTTCTCAGTGCCTGCAGGAGTCAGGGCCCTGCTTTGTGTAATGTAATCCCATTTAATCATCAGAGCCATCCTGGGAGATAGTTTTTCTTTTCTTATGTTCTGTCTTTCCGTTTGTCAGACAAAGGCCTAGAGGGTCTAAGAAGTAAGATCCCTGTAATCAATGGAGGACCAGTTACTGTGCTCTTGATCTGCCCAGAGCAAGGAAATCAGGAACCCGAGCTGAAATGCAAGCAAGGGATGGCCAGTCATACAGGGCAAGGCCAACTTCATTCTCTGACCCTTTCGTCTTGATTCCTCCCCATTCCAGGACTTTATGTCCCAGGCACAGCCTCTTCCATTTCAAGAGGAAGGAACCTGGCCACTTTTGAATGGATGCAGCACAACCGCCTTTACCTTGAACTAGATGCCCGCCCAGGAGTACTTCTCCCTTTTGACTCTGTTTTAGCCCGAGATGTTTTCACTTAGCAAAGTCAAAATTTCATTCATTCAACAGATGTCTATCGAATACTTTTAGGCCACAGTCAATGCTGGACATTAGGTAAGGAATACTGAGCAAAACAGACACTTTCAGGCACATAGGGAAAGGCACTAGCCAGAGACCACACAGCTAAGGAACCCAGGACTCCCGCCTTCCAGTTCTTCCAGCCAGTCAGTGTTTGTGTAACCCATTCCGTTTAAGGCCCCTGGACGCCTTTTGCGGGATCCCTAGAGGCACTCCCACCCACCCCTGCCTCCTGCAGAGGCCCTTAGCAGTCTTCTAAACACATTGGCCTCACGTTCTCTCCGTAAGACCAAAGAACTCAAACGCGGTCTTAAATGATGAACTTTGCAAGCTGATGGGATTTAAAACAGAAAAACCTGCTCCAGACTCTCTGGAAATAAATGCTCAGGTTACTTTTCAAACTAGAAGTCGTCACCAGCAGAGGCTAAGTAGTGATGCGGCTTGCCCAGGGTCACAGTGTTAGGCCTGAGGATGCAAACTAGGCCAGTGAGAACCCCGAATCTGCTGTTACCTCCTCCCCGCAAGGTCTGTACCTCCACCGGACAGTGCCAGAGGCCGCTGCACTATCCTGGGGAAACCACATCTCCCCTGGCTTCCTGAACAAGCCTAAGGGGAGAGCCAGCGGCGCCTGTCCGGCGCACTCAGCAAGAAGGAGAGGGTGGGGCGCTTTGCAGACCGGGCCTTGGCTCCTGCTCTCAGGCAAAAGATGGTCAAAATATTTCACCCAAAGCCGGCCCGGCGCCGCAATGCCACATGGAGCAGAAGCGCGGTTCGAACTCTTAACCCAGTGCACTTCAGACAGGCAGCTTCTGTCCGCCTCTCCAAAAATCTCGCAAACTTTTGCGGTGGTTAATATTTTAAAAGTTAATTAAATAGCATCAGGGAACTTTTCTTAAAGTTGATACAGGTGAATATCGGGATCTTTCTTGCCCCCCCCCCGAGAGAGAGAGACACAGAGAGAGAGAGACAGAGAGAGAATTTTTTCTTTCTTCTTTCCTTTTTTAAGACTCTTACCTGCAGGAAACCCAGCAGCCAGCAAAGGCGCGTCCCTTCTGGAGCGCTTCGTTTTGGCGCGGGAAGTTCTCGGCCGCCTCGTCTGCAGCCCGGCTGGGCTCCGGCCCTGTGTTTTATACCACTATAGGCAATTAATATTGCATCAGCCGTATTTTAAATTTTCAAAACCCACAATATAATGTAATGGCATAAGGGCATTTATTATTAAAGGATGCCGATGGAGAGGGAGGTGGAGGAATTGCTGGGGTTGCTCCGCAAGGGGGTTGCGAGGGGCTGAGGTCTACGGAACTGGGGGCTAGCTACAAGTTTGCTTTTACAGAGGCGAGGGGGGGGGGGCGATGTGGCGACTTTGAAGCACGACTTGGAACCGAAGCCTACTTTGCTCTGAATTTCGGGCAATAGGCAAAGGACCCCGAACTCTTTGAAGACGCACCCGGGAAATGTGCAGGTGACTCTTGGTCCTGTAACATTAATTTTTAAACCACAAACGTGTCTCTAAGGCTAACACATACTCAAAAACTTTGGCTCATATTGAGTGAAAAGAGAGAAGGATATTGGCATTCGTTGGCATCTACTGGGTGCAAAGCACTGAGAGGTGTTTTGCAACAGGCACCTCAGTCTCTCTGCAGAACAGCCAAGACACACTACTCTGTAATAATCATCGGATGACAATTTCCAATGAGTTGAAGAAATTTGGAAAAGGCTCCAATATTGTATCAGAGCAATTATTTTTCTCCCCCTTTCCCTCTATCCCTTCATCTCTGCAACTGTTTGAATCCTTTAAAATTGTATTTTGTTTCTTATAAAGTGCCAAGCACCCCCTACCAGATTGCTTCAATGGTCTTACTGTGAGATGGGTAGTTGGCATTCAATCTGTACAGCAACAATCTTGACCAGGACACACAGAAAAGTTAGGAAACTAGCTCCAAGGGTGGTTTAGCCTCTGAGTGACAGGAATGGAGCTTGAACCCCCCATCAGTCAGGCTTCCAAGTTTCCAAGTTAAGAGATTACCATGAAAGTTTGGCATTAGGAAGCATGGAGGAAATTGCCTTTGAAGGCATCTGAGGTTCAGAGAGAAGGTAAGATGATGGATTATGTTCGAAGTAAGAGTGTGAATGAAGTTGCTTGGGAAGGGAGTGGAGAAGAGAGATGGTTCAGTCCTTACAGGTTTTTATTTTTAAATCCTTTCCAAGTCTAGTTATCTTTAGCGCCAGAGAAGGAAAACTACTGCAATTCAGATTGAAAAATAAAGCCTTTATTTTAGAAGTTAATATAAGGGATGAAGAGAAGGAACACAATGCTTTATTTGTATCTATTTCAGAAATTAAACCAAAGCTCACACAGCAACACCCAAACTACAGGAAGCAATGGAAAATAAAATATGGAAAGCTGTGGCTGCAGTGAGAAGGGCCCTGTTTTGTCTGTGGCCCTGCTCTGCTGACTTAAAACTATTAAGTGAACTCCCACAGAGAGACACATAAAAGGGACAGGAAATGTGGAGTTAAATAAGTAATAAGAACTAAAGATGCCAACAGCCACAGTAATAAAAGTGCAACAATTAGGTTAGATGTGTTGGAAGGATTTGCATAGGATTCCAGAAGTTACAGTCACTTCGAAATGCTGGGGCTGGGCGGGCAATCTTGCAAGAGCTGTGACCATAGGCCCGGAGTCTTCAGTTGGTCTGGTCTGGGACCGCCAACCAACCCCGCCAACCAACCCTGCTCGCCCAAAAGGCAATTATTCCTCAAACTCGAGGAGGTTGAGGAAGATAACCAGAGCTAGCACTAGCACTGACCTCTGCACACCAACAGTCCCAAATATTTTCAGGCGCTGGGTTGGGCCCACCTTGCCTGGAATCCTACTGATTCCCATCTTCTCACACATTAACCCATGCTAATTAATGAGGATGTACGGTAAACCAACGGATATTATGGGTAGGATTTAGAAGCAGAAGGGAGTTATTATAAGGCTATCCTTTGGAAACATACGTGTGTTTTATATACTCTAATAAATTAGTTAATTTCCACGTTTGTATCCCGCTTAAATATCATAGACTTTGTAATGTTATCTATCGCTCTTTTCCTTACCTTTGCCCTTGCCTAATGGCGCTCAACAAAGAAGTGGTACTTTCACTAGCCTGCTAGCCTGGGGCTACAGGTCTGAGGTCCACTGCAGTTGCACACGCGAGGACGAGTTTCAGCACCGCGGACAGCATAAAGTCAATCCTGCCTAGACTCTTGAATTTTCTTCCCCCTAGCGCCTGAACTTTCTTTTTTCTTTCTTTCTTTCTTTCATTCTTTTTTTTTTTTGGGGGGGGGGTGGGAATAAAGAGGAAAGGGAGGAAAGGATGGCCAGGAGGCATTTAGGTGGGACAAAGGGAGAAAGTCTGTGACTTGGGGGAGAGAGCCTGACCTGCCAGGGAACACCCTGGAGTGTCCCGTAAAGGTCCCTCCCATAGGAAGGGGGAGATGCCACTAGGCTCTCCTGGCTCCTCTGGATGCCGCAGCCGCAGTCAGTGGACAGCTGAGTACTTCATTCGTTTCTGTTTCTGTCTCTGGTTACAGAACCAGACCCTCACCACATTCTTTTTAAGGTCCAGTTTCTCAGCGATGGCCGCAATCTTCTCGGATGAAGGACGTGGCTGGATGGCAAAATAGGCTTCCAGTGAGCGCTTCTCTGGGGCGGCGATGGACGTGCGTTTGCGCTTACGCTCACTGCCGTTGAAGAGCTCTGGCTTGCTGTTCTTCTCTCGATAGGCGGCCTCCGCCTCCTCCAGCCAGGCCTGGAGGACCGGCTTGAGAGCGATCATGTTATTGTGCGACAGGGTAAGAGATTCGAACCTGCAGATGGTGCTCTGGCTGAGCGAACCCACGCCAGGAATCTTGAGATTGGCTAAAGCCGCGCCCACATCCGCCTGGGTTACCCCCAACTTGATTCGCCTCTGCTTGAAGCGCTCGGCGAAGGCTTCCAGCTCTCGAGGGTCTGACTCCACGTCGCTGAGACACGCAGGCATGGCACTGTGAGGCGCTACGGCATGCGGGTGACTCATGCCCATGGCCTGGTGCAAGTGGCCCATGGCGCCTAGATGATGCGGGTGGATCTGCGCAGGCATAACCGAGTGCTCCGGGGCCCCCAGGCCGCTCACGCTCAGCGTGGGTGAGATGTGCTCCAATAAGTCACCCTCGAGGCCCTGGTGCACCGCGTGGTGCGGGTGCGAGGTGAGTGCAGCCGGGTGGGAGATGGGCACCGTGGGCGAGGTGGACGTGCAGGGCACGCTGCTCATGGTATGGTAGGTGGCGTCGGGCTTGAACGGATGGTTCTTGCCGTGGGAGACGATATCCACCGCCGCCAGAGCTTCCGCGCGTGCCAGCAGGCTCTCATCAAAGCTTCCAAATATATTACCCTGCAGCTGCAAGCGAGAAGGCGCACAGCACGGTCAGTGGGGAATACTGTCAACTCAGGATTAAAACACATTTTCAAGCAACCGAGATGCCTCTCCTCAAAGCCCAGGTCATAAAAATTAATACGGAGCCAGCCTCTCTGTTGGAACAGACGTGTGGATCAGAGACATGAATGAGAGAGAGAGCGCCGGGAGAGAGCGCGGGGGAGACAAGGAGAGGGGTTCAGACAGCGGCGATTGTTCTGGGCGACATGAAAAAAACATGAAGCAAGTGCCTGTCAAAAAATGTGCCTTAGAGCGGTAATTATGCTCCGCTACGTACCTGCGGGGCTGGGAGACAAACTCGGCGCATGGCCTCAGAGCCGGAGTGCAGGCTGGAGAATTTGGGTTCTTGCAGTACGGGGTGCATGCCGAAAGGCTGCTTGGCGTTCATGGCCATCATCTTCGGGAGTCTGGCAGGGAGGCAGCAGGGGACATGGAATCAGGCTCGTCTTGCTGGCTCTCCGAGCTCCAAGTGAGCGCCGCTCAGCGCCCGCGCTCCCCTCGCCCTCTCGCTTGCTGCCTCCCCTCTCCCCCACCTGCTTCTTCACTCATCTTACAAGCAGCCTGCCAGGAAGGGCCCGAGCACGCGCAAGCGTGCACACGCGCCCGAGACTCGCAGGGGCGGCCCGGGAGGCAAGGCGGGACCGCAGGTCTCGGCGCGCCACTCGAAGCCTAATGCGGCCGCCCCCTCTACAGCATTTATACCCAGGCCTGGCAGGGCCTCTTCCTGTCCGCCCCGCCCCGCCTGGCTCCAGCGTGCTAGACTTTACAGATTCGTTCTTCTTCCTCCAGGACTTTTTACACAAAGTCCCAAACCTCTGTCCTGTCCCAGCTTGAACTACCTGGACAGAGGGACAGAAGGGCAGACTCAGTCTGAGCGAGGATACGAATCCTACCTCACCCAGACCTCCCATCTCTCTCTCTCTCTCTCTCTCTCTCTCTCTCTCTCTCTCTCTCTCTCTCTCTCTCTCTCACACACACACACACACACACACACAGTGACTGAGAGAAAGAGAGAGAGAGAGAGGTGGGGGTAAGGGGCGGGGGGGGGGGGGGAGAATCCTGATTGTTGCCAAACTGGCCTTTTCCAAAGTGCTCTGGGACCCAAGCCTGAGCTCCCACCAAAACGCTGCACCCTTGTGCATAGGGAAGAGACACCTCCAAGCTACAGATTAGCCTGGACAAGGTCCAGAGGCTACCAGAATGAGCCTCGGGTGATACTCCCCACTACTGTGGGCTTGGGTGGAGGCAAGGACAGAAACTGCCTTTCTGACACACTAGCCTATGGCTTCTTCCCAATCCTGGCCTTTTTCTCTTTCATTTGAGAAAGATGACTTGGCCCATCCCCCCCTTTTCCCAACCCTCCAGCCCAAGGAAGCTTGCTAAGTAGTCTTCTTAAAGAATCTAGGGGAGTAAATCCCTGGGCACACTTATGAAGGGCCACCACTTACCAGCCCTAATACCTGTAATGACAGCTATCATTTTTAGCTACCAATTGGTGCAAGGCATTTCAGAGTTGGTTTATGGGACCGAAGTTTTGCAGACACTATGGAAGTAGCTACTGCTATCCCATTAGACAAGCGAAGAAAACAAGAGTCAAAGGAGTTAGGCCAAGACCTCCTAGCTTTGAGAAGCCATTCACTCACAGGTTTGGCGCAGACAGCACGCCTGTCTTTGTGCTCTTGATCTCTTAGCCTCTTCTTCTTCCTTCTGGAAGTTCCTCAACTTGAGGGTCCTAAATTTGGTTCTGCCCCATCCCGTGTCCCCAACTATCTCTTTTCTTCTTCTCTCCCCTTCTTTCCTTTCCATTCCAGGGAGCTAATAAACATCATGAATAATGGATAGGGAATCCTGGGACTGTGGCTGCTGGAGGGCCGCCTTCGGGTTGGAAAAGAAACTTCTCCGTGCCCAGCCGTGTCCGCATCCCACAGCCAGGTGGTCTCCATGCCCAAGTGCTGTGGGAGTTCCCAGAATCTTAATAGGGTGGGGGTGGCATGTCGAAAGTCTAGGCCCTAGGGATGAATTGGCTTAAGAGGAAACCCTGTCTAGCCCTGGCTCCCCTGGCTCCCAGGGACAACCAGCCAGTCCCTTCTCTACTCATCCCAAGGCACTTTCTGGATCCTGCCTTATTGTGGCTGAAAAAGACCAAATCAGTTCCTGTGAAGGAGGCCAACCATAGTGGGGCTCACATAGCTTTCTTGGGTTCTGGATGCTGCTGCTGCTGCTGCTGATGGTGGTGATAGTGGTGAGGATGGTGAGGATGAGGATGATTTAAAGCAGTAAAAGTGTTGTGTACTCAGGACACTTCCTCACTCCCCAGTGTATGCTGCCAGCAGACTCCAAGAGCACCTCTGCCTCTATAGACAGTCATGTTGCAGCCTCTGTACTGCAGTGCCCATCTGTACCCAGGAGGATTATTTGGCGGTAAGCACATAGAAGTGCTTGGCATGTTGAAGGGATAGAACAAACATTACTACCTCTTCTTTAACCGGAAAAATGGGCTGCAGGGTCTCCAGGAATGTGGTGGTCTCTCTGCAGATATGAACTGTTTCCTCTCTCTTCCGTACTGGCTTTGTGTCACAATATCAGGGGCTGGGAAAGTTGTGAATGACACTCCATCCAGCCCCCAATAAGTCACCAGACTACAGACTAGCAGAGGAAATACCGATCAGGCACACACTCAGGGTGAACTGCCTGCCTCCCACCCACAATCTCACTAGTTAGCTCTGGCTGTCCTGGAGCTCACTATGCAGACCAGGCTGGTTTCCATCTCATAGAGATCACCTGCCTCCACCCCCCAGGTACTGGGACTACAGGTGTGAACACCATAGCCAACAACAACTGGAAGTTTTGCAATGTATATACAATATACATCAAAACTGTGGGACTTCAGAGGGCTGATATTGGGTTCATGTGAACATGGTTAGGTCTCAGTTTACCCAAAATGAGAGAACAGACTATATGCTTGCTAAATACTTTCAGTTCGAACAAAAGGCTAGCCTGCTGGTTTACTTATAACACATTTTGAACAAGCCATAAGTTTCTGGCCAGCATCCCTCAAGTTCCCAGAAGTCAGACATGTATTATTTTATCTCCTACTAGCATTTAAGATGCCAGTCTTGTTTCTTGCCCAGTGTGACATCCAAAGGGAAGGGGGAATAAACATGGAGGTACTGGGTCTACATTTTGCCTGGCCCCATGGAGCCCTGAGACCCTCTTCTCACTCTATAAAAGCCCAGTTGTCTGTGAAGATGAATACTCAGGGGGAATCTCATCCATACCCATCTCTTTCACTGCTTTGTCCCTCAAGGGCTTGGAAAATAGAGACCAGGACAATACCACCACTCCCATCATGCCCCTAGGAAACACCTTCTGGTCCTTTCTTCCTATATGTTCTACCAGCAATGGTACCTAGCCAGCAGCAAGCCTCTGAGTGTATGTGCATGCATTGTACCATTTTGAATGTTTATTTTCTTGTAACATTTTAAAATTAATCATTTACCCAGTACCACAGTCAACACGGCTAGGACTCAACCATCAATTAGTCTGAAAGATAAATGTAAATTGCAAAGGGACAATTTCTTTCTTTGGTTGGCATTTTCTTTTCTTTATTCTATAGCTTCAGAAAGGCCACTAAACCATTGGAAACCTATAAAAAAGAATGGAGTTGTGCACATCTGTAACTTCAGTACTTAGGACATGGGTGGAGGAGAATCAGGAGTTCAAGACTCACATTGATGACACAGGAAGTTTGAGGCCAGCTTGGTATACACAAAATCTTATCTCAAATAAAACAAGCAAACAACAACAACAAAACTAATACAACCTGAGTATCTTTTTTTAAAAAAAATAATTTACTTAACTTTATTGTATGTGCATTGGTGTAAAAGTATCAGATCCCCCTGGAACTGGAGTTACAGACAGTTGTGAGCTGCCGTGTGGGTGCTGGGAATTGAACATGGGTCCTTTGGAAGAGGAGCCAGAGTTCTCAACCACTGACCCATCTCTCCAGTCCCAACCTGAGTATCTTATCACTGGAGATGATGCTTAGAGAAATTGATCATGGCCTTGCTTAAACATAAACCTATTTATGGAGACAGAGTGAAACTACATGCAAAGACAGCTATAGAAAGAGGCTGAAATTTTAAAAACTGATTAATTGTGATCGCGTGTACAATTATTAATTATGTTCATATGTGTACTTATTAATTGTAATAATACATGTACTTACTTGGCTTTCTAAGGGACCTTTGTGGTGTGAGTCTCCTTTATCAAATGTTTTCTCGTCACATTATAAGAGCAACATTTTCAAAAAAGCCTTTAGATAAGGGCAGAGGGAAACAGATCATAAAGACTACAATACTGGGGCTGTAGCAATGATTCGGAGGTTAAGAGTTCTGGCTGCTCTTCCAGAGGACCCAAGTTCAATTCCCAGCACCCACATGGTGGCTTACAACTATTTGTTGTAAGATCTGATGACCTTTTCTAGCCTCCAGGGACACTGCACAAATGGGGTACACAAATATATGTCCATACAAAGCACCCATATACATAAAATACCAAATTAAAACAAGTTTTAGACCACACAGTGGTGGTACACACCTTTGAGACCAGTACTCAGCAGGCAGAAGCAGACAGATGTCTTTGAGTTCAAGGCCAGCCTGGTCTACAAAGTGAGTTCAGGATATCGAGAGATACACATAGAGAAACCCTGGTTTTCAAAAAACAAAACAAAACAAACAAACAAACAAAAATTAAAAAGGATGCAAGTACAAGATGAGCCTTAGAACACATTTTCCAGGACTTACAAACTTAAATTCAAGTAGATGAAAATCTAATAGAACACAACCAACCAGTAACTGTAGTTGATACAAGGGAGACTGGCCTGAGGGAAACTACAGAACATATGCTTCCACTGTGGCATTAAACTGTAATTAAAACAAGTGGTTCTCTGTGAGTTTGAGGCCAGTCTGGTCTACATAGTGAATTCCAGGCCCGTTGAAGCTACATAATTTGGACCCTGCCTGAAACAACAATCAAATAAATACAAAAACTGTAAATACAATATCCAAAAGAATCTGTCCCAGGATCCAGCCAAGGGCCTCAAGAGCATTTATGCAAGTGTCAGCAAAGAAGTCACATTTTTCATTCTTTAATTGCTTTGAATTATCCACTGTTTGCTGGGTTTTATGGCATGTTCTCTTGGTATAGAGGACACTGTTTCAAGATCTTAGGGTTTAAGGTGGGTATAATGGCACGCACCTTTGGTCCCAGCACTTGGGAGGCAGAGGCAGGTAGATCTGTGAGTTCAAAACCATCTTGGTCTATGTAGTGAGTTCCAAGACAGCTAAATAGTGAGACCCTGTCTCAAAACAAACAATACAAGATCTTAGAGTTTGACATGAATATGGGGTTGCCACATATAACTCTAAGTCAGAACTCAGAGCACATGGAGTTCTCCAGAAAGATACAAAGTAGAACCAAGAGACATCTTCCTGCAGGCTAGTGGCTTTCAACATTAGTATGAATAAGAAACAACTCCAGCTTCTCAAAAACAGAGCACTCGAACTCAGACTTAGAGCTTGCTCTTTTTTGTTTGTTTGTTCTTGT